AGAGAGAGAGAGAGAGAGAGAGAGAGAGAATGAGCTGTGGGGAGGGGCAGAGGGAGAGGGAGAAGCAGACTCGCTGCTGAGCAGGGAGCCTGATGCGGGGCTCGATCCCAGGACCTGGGATCATCACCTGAGCCGAAAGCAGACACTTAACCATCTGAGCCACCCAGGCGCCCCTCTCCCTTGCGGTTTTCTTGATGTCCCACCCTGACTGCTGGACCTTGCCACCCACGTCTCTGCCATGAGCCCGCAAAGCAGCAAGGTGACAAACATCTCTGAGACAGAGTGGCCAGCCCCACACCACGCACACACTAGACCCTTGGCAAAGGGTTGACCCCAGGACAGGAGAACCTTCCAAGAGAGACTCGGGGGGCGTCTGGGCAGCCTTACCCACTGCTGACTGTCTGGGCAACCGTCCTCCCTGTGCAGGGAGAATGCCACAACCACGGGCCGGGCATCATGGCTCAGCCTCAGTGACACCTGTTTTTATGGCCCTGTTGCTAAGCTGGAGCCAACAGCTCCTTGGAGCCGCGTGACACAGAAGAGGGAAGTCGGCAGTCCCTGAGGGGCTGCTCTTCACTCCCTCCAACTCCAGTGGGGCAAAAAATGTTTTCTTTTCCATTGCATAAAGATGCTTCCAAAGGTGACAAACCTAACACCACTAGGAGGAGGAGATCAAAGCCCTATGAGTGTGAGTGGGGAGCACAGTGGCTGCATGTCAGTGGCAGGACAGGCCAGCCAGCCACACCTGACCCCGCCAGCATGCAACCGGAAGGAAAACAGGCTCTGACCAAAATCAGAGCCAGCACGTTTTGCGGGCAGGGCCCCTCAGTCCTCACTCTGCCAAGACGGTCTAGGTGGTACTGCTCCAAGGGGGACAATCAGAGTAAAACACACGAGGTTGACCATCCTCCACCAAGCCCCGCCGGGCCCTCTCCACAGGGCTGCAGTGAGGAGCCAAGACAAGGAGAGAGGAAACCAGGTTTTGCAAGCTTTGAGGGGCTACATGGGTGTGAGAGGCTGGCGCTGCAGGTCTGGCCATCCGAATGAGCATGGGACAGGTCACCAGAACCCAGGCCGGGAGGCCCAGCATGCCCTATGACTCAGAGCAGTGCCCTGACCTCAGCTCCTTGCTTTCTGTCCTGTCGAGGGAGACAGGAACCGTGCTGACCCTCGTATGGGGCTGGCTGCCTGAGGTCCCCCTGAGAGGTCAGACAGCAGTGAGCAGAGAAAATTGTGCAGACCCTCGCATGTGCACGCTGGTGACACGGGGGCAGGGGGCGGCGACACAGGATGGCTTTGTAAGGGTCACCTCTGGCCCAGTGACTCCAGCCATGGGGAGTTATCATAAGGAAATAATCCTAATTAGAGAAAATTATCTTTATGTATGTGGATATTAATCACAGTATAATTTATGATTGTAAACACACACACACACACACAAAGTGCCAGGTAGCTGAGAACAGGGAAATGATAAAGTGAACTGAGGTTCATCTGCTCAATGGAACCATTCAAAAATTTTTCAAAGACGAGGATCACACAGAAAATGGTGATGAGTCCCATTAATGGAATATGTCATGACACAGCTTTACTTGCACCATTTCTTTCAACCTTTGAGCTTAAATGTTCAAGCTCATATTCTGATATGCACAGAAAGACCGAGGATGTTTTAAATCTATGACATAACTCCAACTTCGCCTAAGTTTTTAAAAAGCTGCATGCTGGGAAAATATTAGAAGATAATGAAGGAATTCGTGTTTATGTAGTAGTAGAAGGGTAACTTTTTTCTATTTTAATGTAGTTTTCAGATATTCTTTTATTCTTATATATACTTTTAAAATAGAATAAGTAAATAGAGTGCCAGGGTGGCTCAGTCAGTTAAGCGTCTGCCTTCGGCTCTCCTGGGATCGAGCCCCCACATCGGGCTCCCTGCTCAGCGGAGAGCCTGCTTCTCCCTCTTCCTCTGCCCCTGCCTGTGTTCTCTCTCGCTCTTGCGCACACTTGCTCTCCCTCTCACTCTCAAATAAATAAAATCTTAAAATAAAATAAGATAGAATAAGTAAACATATTTTCAGGGTAGTTCAGGTACGGAAGGGTGACCCCGCTGCTCCGGGAGGGGAGGGCGAGCACAGGCATCCACACAGAGAACTAACTGGGATGCCTGGGGCAAGCACCAGACAGGACCTCCCGAGGCATAGCTCAGCAGAACCTGAGCTGTTCTGACCCAGCCTTCCTGGGTGGGACCAAGGACTTGTGACCCACCCCACTCCCTTCTCCACTTTCCCAGAGGAAGTAGAACTCTGTGAAAGAAACAAATAACCAAAATAGCAAAAATATACCAATTACACAAAAACAAAACCATCAACAAAGCACAAAACAACAGCAGTTTCTATGATTTAAAAAAAAAAAAAAAAAAGGAATACCAAAAAAGCAGCAATAAAGAGCCAGGACAAACTCAAGGCAGCACTAAGCGTGCTTGAAAACAAAGCATCCTTCCAAAAATCGCAGGATGTGCCGAAGGCTCTGGCCAAGTGCCGGGCGGCAGCTAGACTGCTCAGCAGAGACGCCCAGACTCCGCAGGAACTCCAGGACTGCTCGTTTCGTTTTAGGACTATCAGATTTTAGTAACTCCTAGTAACTCTCTTCATAGGAAGTGGACTTTGGGCTGACGTAAAAGTGAATCTCCGGCAACACTATCGTTTGCCTGAAGAACCCAAGAAAGGATTCGGTGTTTGGGCACCTCCGCTCCTTCCCCACCGATCACGGGCCCCTCGGGGGCATGAACCACACTTGGAGGGACACCGACATCTGATCTACTGCAAACACAGCAAAGCCTCGTCCCTGCAGACGCTGCCCCCCAGACAAGGCCAGGCTTCGGGGCAGGGCAAAGTCAGAGAGCAGAGGGGTGGCAGTCTGGGGGCTCCCTAAGTCCCGTCATCTGCCTGGCCCTCCCCGGCGCCGTGAGGCACAGCTAGCTTCTGTGCCTTCACCATCCCCAAGGAGCTGTACTGCCCCTAGCTCTGGGCACCCCGAAGCCTGGCCTGGCCCGGAGTTTAGCACATGCTGGGTGGTGACCTACCAGCTGCTGAGGGAGGGGCGAGGAAAGGGAGGGAGGGAGGGAAGGGAAAGTCGGCCATGCCTCCTCCCAGACCTCCTGCTGGCCCTCGTCAGCCCTCCCCTCACAGCATTTTGCCAAGCCAATCACACACGCAGGACCACAGCACCGACCAGGCCCTGGAGGCCCCTCTCGTCAAGATGTTTCAAATTAGTTTAATCATGGCATCCTCTGAGCAGACAGAATCCTGCTCCCAAGCTTCATCTACGCAGCAATCAGGATGGACTGCTGGGCAGGGGGCAGGGGTAGGAGAGAGGAGCAGGATAAAGGTAGAACCCCTCGTCCCTCAGCTCCCCAGGACCGCAGAAACCCACAGGGGGATTCCTGTAGGCCTGGACTCTTCCAAATACAAGCCAAAATAGCTCACTAGATGGGCTCCCTTCATTTTCTAGGTGGGGAAACTGAGGCCTAGAGAGGCAAAGTGGCTCAGCAAAGGCACGCAAGTGGCTGGTGGCAGGGCTGGGTCTAGCACCATGTCTGTCTCCCTCTAGAATTCAGAACAGCGGGAACACCTTCCTTACATCTGCATCCCCCACGGCACCAGCATCGGTCGTACCCAGAGGAACCACTCACGGCACACTGGAGGCGACAGAGGAGATGCCGTTTAGAGAAGCAGGCCTCCAAGTCAGACTGACTGGGGCCCAAATCCCAGCCCTGACACTTAAATGGCTGTCTAACCCTGGCCAAGTCCACTCCTCAGTCCCCCAGCTATGGTGGTGCAGGGCTGGGGGGAGGACTCGGTGAGCTCACAGAGCTGCACTGGCTACTGGGGAAGAATCACAAATGCCAGCTCTTCCCCGACACCCTCCTCTCTCCTTCTGATCCCTCCCTGCTCAGCAAATCTCCCTGGGCCTTGCCTTCCAGAAAGAGAACATTCAGACGCCTCTGTGGTACAGGGACTTGCCTTGTGGAGACAGTCACAGCCACGGTGGGCAGGCTCAAATTTCCTGGGGCGTCCAGGGACACCACACTGCCAAGGGGAACCCAGCTTCAATTCCCGGCTTACAGGCCTCTTCCGACACCAGTGGCTCCTGACCCCTCCTTCACCTCTGCTCCGCTGGGCTGGAACAGCAGGTACCACCAAAAAAAGGCCTAGCTGTCCCCTGGGCAATCAGGTTCTCCCCGGTCTGGCTGTTGAAACCCCAACAGTCACAGTTCAAGTCGTAGCTACCCCAAGACCCCGGAACTCCCCTCTGCACCCCTAAGAGGCTCAGGTCATGGTTCACCATGGCCAGAAACTGGCGGGCATATCCAGAGCTCCAGAATCAATCAAGGACCACCGGGAGGAAGAGAAGCCAGCAGCCTGGCACACCCCACTAACAAGAACCCTCCAAGGGCTCTAACCCAAGGGTGACCAGACCTGCTGGCACTGCCGCACGAGCCCAACCTACCACAGACGAGACAATCAATCTCTTCTGCCCCGGAGAGGCCAAAGCCCAGAAAAGCCTCTGATTGATTGTGTGTCAAAGTTTCAGAAAACTGAGTTAGAATTTTCACTTCTCATATGTGGACTGGATATTTTAAAGTCAGATAAGTACAGGAACAAACTAGAGAGAAGAGGGTCACAGATCTGGATGGAGGATCCTCTAGCCCAACCTGCCACTTTACAGATGAGCAAACTGAGTCCCGTGGCGGGTAGGGAACGTGTGCAGGCGCTGAGTCAGGCCCAGAGCCCAGATGCCTTGCTTGAGTCTGGAGATACCACACTGCACAACTTCCACTGTCCTCGTGAGTGGGGCCCTGCCCTTGAGTCTCTGTGCAGAAAGCTGTGACACAAAGGGCATGGCTGGCCCCCTCACCCTCTCCCTCGTGTCTCAGTGGAGCTCTTCTCTCTGATTCAGGGCACTGGCAGCTTTGAACCAGGGCTACTGGCGCGCGTCCAGGTTACCTTTCGGCATAATCTGATGCATGGCGACCGAGAGGAAGAAGATGGAGTCGCTGTAGTAGGTCCCTGAGCCAGCACTGAAGTGCTTCTGCATGGCCTCCACCACCGGGAAGAGCTTGTCCGTCAGCACGCCAACATCATGGAAGACAACCTGCACGGGACACGAGGAAACCGCAGGAATGAGCAGACCCGCTCGAGACAGCCAGCACACACGCTGCCCTTCCAGGGGCCACGAGCAGGGCGGCCCAGGTGAGAGTTACGAAAATGAGGAACCACTGGGAGCCAGCAAAGGCTTGGCCGTGAGGACAGGGACACCACGTGTGAGAGTTGTGTAGGCATGCACGTCGGGGGAGCGCAGTGGAAGGGGAATGGGAGCCCTCCCCAGTCTGCTTTCTGCTTCTGAACCCCAAGCTGGGCCACTCGGAAACGGGAAGCCACGTGAAAACGTCTGGTCCTGAGATTTGGGACCCTCCTCGAGTCTGGGCAGCTGGTGGCAGCCCTGGCATCGCCACGCCCAGCAACCGCTCCATGTGTCCGATGCCCCACCTCCCCGTCCAACAGCGTGGACAGGGAGGGGACCCCCAGAAGACAGCCCCGGAAAATGCCGAGTGCCACAGTCAACTCGTCCATCAATTCAACCAGCATTTCCTAAGGGCCCCAGACACTCTGGAGGTGCGGTGAGAGCTAGACGGAATAATCAGGCACCACTTCCTGCAAAACACTTGGGATCTAGAAAGGTCAGCAGCTACTGAACAGAGCTCTGCAAGTTATGAAACACTTTCACGCACCCTGATGCCCGTGACAACCTAGGACTTAGTGAGGCAGACGTCACTATTATAGCTCTATTATGATTACAGATTTATTATCATTACAAATGAGAACGCAGATGCTCAAAGAGGTTACGCCTGCCCAAGGTCACAAAGCTACTAAGTGGCAGGGCCAGCACTTGAACTCTGGTCTCTGGATTCCAAGTCCCTCGCTCTTCCAGCTATAAATGCATCCTCTTTCTTAACAGCAACCACATCGGCATAAGCAGCAAACAGAATAGATAAGAGTACTAACAGGACCCTAAAGAGTTGGTTTTCCTTGGCTGACGTTATTCCAGATTATAAATTCATCCCACATGCAGCTACCAAATTACCATGCACTCTGCTCACATAAGTCTTGCATGTTTTCTCTGTTGCTCCGTGTGCCCCCCCGCCCCCGACATCTAGAACACTCCACTGCACACCAGAGGCACTCGATAAATACAACCCAGGCCAGAAGCCTGATGTTCCTCCGCCTCCAGCCTCAGCCCTCGCTAGAGGTCTGCTGATGACCCCTCCGACCTCCCTTTTACCCTGGCAGCTCACAGGGAAAACCTCACCCTGCCAGGCTGCCACATATTGCTCAGCCACCACCATATGGACTCCAGGACACCAAGAGTGGGGGGAGAGGCCCCACGACTCCCCTGACTGGCTTGTTTACCTGGTCAGGGGCTCTGCCAGGGGAGAAAAGACTGGTGAGGGCAGGGCCCCGAGGTTCTCAAGCAGGCGGGTGCCACCCTGTCATCTACGACTGCCCTTCCTCGACCCGTCTCAGCTCATTCCCCGCCCGGCCTGCGCCTCCAGAACCTTCAGGCATCAGGTCATTAGAAGAACCACCCTTCCCGGCCCAGCAGTGGGGGTCCACCGCCCTGTCCGCTTCTCCCGACTTTAGGTTCTACTTTTGGCAGAAACCTGTTTTTGTCTTCACTCACTTAAGCGTTTGCTTTTCTCTTTACTTGTGTTTCCGAAACACCATTACACTCAGATAAACTTTTATACTGTGTTAGCGTCATTGTTCTTGTAACTCTGTCTTTTTCAAATGTATTCACATTTCTCTCCTAATGAGCTATTTTCCTTTATCCTTTTCCTGACTCATTTTTTGATGTTTTCTTTTTCATGACTTCTCGGCCAGTTCTGCTATTCCCCAGTCCAGATGCCCAATTATGCCTTTTACCTCCTACACCTCCCTTGCTCCCCTCACCCCACCCTGGTGACTTCCTTCCTGGCTGCGTGAGCACCACAAACCCTAGGTCTCCCACCTCCTGCCCTGTCCCCTCCAAACCAGCCTCTGTTGTGCCTCTCGAATAACCAAATACCCAACTTCCCTTCTCCCTCTCCTTGACTTCTAAACCTCCAATGGCTCACTGCACCGGTCACAGTCCAAACTCCCCAGCAAGGCTCCAGACACCCGGCCCTAGTGACTGCCTATCCCTCGCGCCCTCCCTCCTCTGGCGAGTGAGCAGAACTGAACCAGGCTGCCCCCACCCTGTCCTAGATCCTCGTATATTTGTACCTGCTCTTTGCACCATGGGGAACCCCTCCCAGCCCCCATGTGTCTGGTAAACTCCTATCCAGTCTCCCAACCTGGCTCAGACACCGGCGGCCCTGGCCTTGGCTCAGCGTCCCACAATTCATCACATCCTCCTCGGCACCCTCCATCACCCGGATGGAGGCTCCGCTTCCCTGTCTGACTTCTCTACAAGCCTCTGGCGTTCACTGAGGCCAGACGCTATGGCTTCTCTGTGCCCCGTGCCCAGCCCCCGGCCACAGGACAGGCCACCACAGAGGTTTGTTGAACCAAATGAACTTACTAGCTTAGTAATGAAGTTACTAAACCAACCAGAGCCTAAAATACAGAAATGATAACACCTACCTCCTATGGTGGCTTTTAGGACCACCTGGGACAAGTAGAGTAAGCACCTAGTTCAGGGGCTGCCACGCGGCGGTTATTCCTCAGTATTAGCATTCTGCCCCCAGCCCCGTGCTCAGCCCCCTGAATGCCCTCACAAGCCAGCTTTCCCCTCTGAGCCTCATTACCCCTCCAAACCATGGCTGGAAGTAGGAATCTGACAAGAAGCTAGAAGCTGACAGGAGGGCTCTCTCAGAAATGGAAGCCTCTGTATTCATTAAAAAGGAAGACAGAGAATGGATACGTGCAACCAAACACACACACGTACACGCTCAGCACAGAGCCTACCGAAGCCGAGCTGAGGGAGACAGCTTTCAGCAGCCAGCTTATTCCCTGACCCGGGCCCCCAGCTCACCCCAAAGCTTCACGGGAGACAATTACACCCTATCAGCATTAATAGATTTATGAGGACAAACTGTACTCAGTACATTGTTTCAAATGCTGCACACTGAAGCACCCGCTCCAGTGAATATTTCATTTAATAAATCTACTTAAAGATAAATTAATATGTTCCATGGACACACAGCAAGAAGCAAACCACAGGCACGCCAAGTGTGAAACACAACACCCAGGCCTCCCAATGTCTAAAACCAGTTTGCAAACTGTGACCTTCCAAGGGCAGAGTCGGAGTCAGGCACACTAGGAAGCCCCCAGCCCAGGGTCTGGTGCCCAGCAGGGGTGAGGCAAGAGAGATGGAAGGTGCAAAGTGGGGGGGAGGGGGTGTGGGTTAGAGAAAAGGTCACCCCTCCCACCATTCCTCCCCCCTTTTAAATCCCCAACCTCAAGGGCTGCAGGAAGAATTACCATATAACCTAGAAAACCAGGAGGAATATAAAGTGACTCCCATATCGATGGCAACTGGCCAATGAGAAGATCTAAAACAATGGTTTGGTTTGCACCAACTTGACTATACAATTTTGGGAGACTTAGATTAAAAAGTCAAATCACTATTTGTAACTTCTATAAATTTATTTATATATAAATACTTAAAATTAAAATCCTATTAAAGTACTATTTTTTCCCACACCGGCTCACAAAATGATTTCTTTTTGAACCTCTCCTGTGCATGCTCCACATTAGTGCCTTTATCAACCTGAGGTGAGACATCCAGAGCCGTTTTCCGGGACACATCATCCTTGTCATCCATTTAAGATACAGCTTCTTGTGAATTTATGTAGGATAGTGTCATTGGAAATGGTATCCCAACCCATGAGAATCCACATTCATAGCATCAAGCCATTACTTTTTTTGTCAGCCTATAATTACATATTTGTAGCCACTTACTATCTTCCTTTTATTAGTGATCTTTAAAGGCTCACTTATATCAATATTCTACACTTGTAATTATGAAATTAAAACCCCAGGAAGGATGACTAAATCTGTGTTAAATTTCTTCGCCTCCTTTTATTTTTAATTAATTCTGTCAAGTGACTTCTAGAAGCACTTAAATTCAGTAATGACTGAGGTTGTTCCAGGCTAAGGTGTTCTCAAGCTGTACTTTGTGGTTCAAATAAAACATGTAGTTGAGAGAGCACTGAGTACAAGAGACTCAGGAAAGACTCAACTCTTTTGGAAAGGGCAAACTGGGGAGGCGGGGAGAAGGGAAGCTTGCCTCCCATCCACCATGCACAGCACATTCTGGACACTTCCAATACGAGGAGACCCAAGCAACCAGAACAGCACAGTCCAGTGCCAGGGAGGGGGAGAGGTCTTTGCCAGCCTGGCCCTGGGCTCGCGGGCACAGACAGGCCTGAAGAGCCAGGCCACAGCTCCCCTCAGCACTCACTGAGGACATAAAGCAACGCCAAGTCTTAGCTCAACTTAGTGGAGAAAACTCATTGATCACCTGGCATGCCCCACAGGGAGTCAGGTCACACCATGATCCGGGAGCCAAGAAACCAGGTGACAGGGGCTGGCTCTGCACACAGATGCCAGGTTCCCAGGAAACACCAAGGCAAGGTCTGCTTGAAGAACAGTGACTCCTCCAGCCGCGGACACAGTGGCACAGGAGGGCAACATCACGTCCCCATGCTCAGCTGGAGACTGTCCCCAGAACTGCTGCTGGAGAGAAGAACGATAGCACAAAGCTAACATTCCTGGTGCACCTGCCACAGGCTGGAATCTATGTACTGCAGGAATGGCCAACGGGGTGTCCACTTGCCCCAAGGGGTGGCCTGGAGCACCGGGTAGGAAGGCTTCTGCAGCTGCATCTGGACTCAAGCCACCATCAGTACCAGTGTCCACCAGTGGGTGCGCAAACTCGACCCCCAGTGCTGTGGGTGCCCTGTTTCGGTCCCTCCCTAATGTGACTTTCATCACTTCTGCAAGATGTCCTAGATGTAATTCAATCTTGCCAGGCAGAAGCACAAACAGCTGAAGAGGAAAAAGGAAGCCTGCCCGTCTAATTCCCAAAGAATTTCCAACATCCAAGCTCAT